GGGGGGGGGGGGGGTTACAGGGGATGTATAATTATTAACCCTCACGCCACAACGATTCGCCAACTAACAATGATTCTACCAGAGATTTCGCGCGTGAACCCTTCCCCAACGACAATTCAAACTCGCATTGGTTATATCGCTCTCGGATTGGATCCTGCCAATTTTTTTGCAATACACCCAAAAAGAGAATTGACTAAAAATACTAAAAAAAATATTTCAGATGAAATACGGTTGAATCAGAAAAATTGATGAAAATAATTTATTCTTTAATTTATTAGCAGATAGGGGAAGTTTCCTTCGTGAATTTCTGTTACACAGTTTCGGTGTGTAGTTAGCTATCCCACTAGTACGCCAGTGGATAGAGATACAGCTAACTAGCTCGAGACACCTATGTACTTAACGTAACCCATGTAAGCTCACGCTAGAACAAATTTCACCTCCCTCCATGAATTCCCTGTTACGGTAACCCTTACGAGATCTACCTCTACAACGTACCACCAGCCGTAACCCACCAATGTTATGAAGTTGTGTTGAACTTTTCGCGAGCATAGTTTGCAGAACAACCCCAGACCCCTATCCTAATTCGAGTGACTGCGAGAAGTATAGTGGGGTGGGGGGAGGTTACTGCGACACACATGTACACGTAATACATCCCGATGTGCTTACAGGAATAAATGTAATGGGTGGACTTTGAAAATTTTATCAAAATTCAAGCGTTCGATATAATTTCATTTTCTCGGCTCGAAGCAGCCCCTTAGAATGAATTTAGGGGTTGAACTCTCGCTTTAAGCCCTTTGAAGCCGGTAGATTCTTTTAAGGGTTTTCGCACAGGTAAATGGCCCACGCGTCAGAAATTCTCGGCATGGCAGTCATCCAGTCAAGCAACCAGGCAGGCAGCCGGCCGCCTCGAGAAACTTACGGGCCAACTTTAGGGGAGGGTAACAACGTTACAACGTTATTAGATTTACCGCAAGCACCTACCCCGAGGCTTTGCTACACATTACACACATACTCCGACTCTATAAGTAACCCTAAGCACTGTATATATCACGGTTTTCCTAAGGGCGCCGCGATACCGCATAGGTACCAGCTACTATACTGCACATAATCTTAGTTAGGTGCTTCCTGCATGCAAGGAGCTTGCAAACCCTCTCAATATTAGTTGGTCATTCACAAGACTCCGAATTTGAACGTGACGTAGGAATTATCAACCCTTAGATTCCACCGGAAAAATCGTAACTGTCGTAACAGAATTTTACGAAAAATTCTTTGGAAGTCATATAAAAAAATTCGTGTTATTGTCGTACGTCCCTAAATTTAATGGGTTTTACGTAACATGGCGTTACATGTATACATATATATGTAAGATTTATAAGGGTGGAAATATTCTCGTGTATATCTCAAGGCTAACCGAGCATATGAGAACGCATTGATATAATTCGCCGGGGTTGACAAACGCGAAGGAGTCCAACAAATTTCGCAGCGTGGTTTCTGGCTATTGAGTAGCTACCCTTAAGATAAGGGTGGCTTCACCCTGTCCCTCATACGTTTCCGCTATCTGACGCTAAACGACACTGGGCGCTCGTGGCTTGCCACATATAAAAGGGACGGCTGATGCAGGGCTCTCCTACATAATACGCCGGCACATTACTGTCGAATCCCACGCGATAAGCAGAATTTAGAACGTCGGGACAGAATCTTCGTGGGCGACTCGTCTTTCAGTCTTTGGGAAGGAAATGCGAAAAATATGCGGAAAAATTAGACTAGAAATTGACGCTGTTTTTTTTTATTATCAATACATTCACCGATACTCGTTCTGTTATATTCTGCGTATATTTGCCAGTTGGATAGATTTCAAGTGGCACAAACGTTATCACGAATTATTTACGAAAATTTCACTGTTTTTGGAAACACTTATCTGGTCGGTAGATCAGACTCGCACGGGTACCAGTATAACGCTGACAACGTGTCGACTTTGTACGCGCGACTGTATGACGGGCAGTTTACTTTCAAATCATCACAGGGCAGAAGGGATGCAAATAATAAACAATACCTGTCACATTTAAATTGTTAACAAACATTAATTCATGTGGTGTATAAAAGTCACGTGTATTTGTAACATGACAGTTGGTAGTTGCGTCTACCGTATGAGGGTTGACTGATACTTTTGGAATTTTAGGGATACAAGGGATGAAGTGAAAGGGGGGGGGGACGACGGGAAATCATTTAGAAAGTGAGAGGACAAG